GCCCACCCGCCTCCCGCTTCGGAGCAGAGGACGGGAAAGCCTGGCTGCAAGTCGCTGGAAGGCGGCTGAAGCACCAGTTCAGAGCTGGTTTGCTGGCTCAGGAGGGAAGTGGGAGCCTCGCAGGAGCCTTGAATAAGCACAGCCGTTTGGAAGCCTCCACTGTCTTCAGAAACGGCTCAGAGCTTTGTTGCTCCAGCTACCTGTAACTGCTTTATGGATATACTGCCTGTAGGGCTGTATGTTGTTGTTCTGAGTGAGCAGTACCAAAAGGGACGTTTCTAGTAAGATGGACTAATCGCCCAAGCCGAGGTGGTGGTGGTTGTTGTTTCTTCTCTAAAAAGCGCCAGCGTGGTGTTTTTTTTTTTGTGGTTAATCACAAACATGGTAAAGCACTTCCTCCCTCTGACTGCGAAAATTGACAACTGACTTCTGTTTTCATGATGTCCTGCACTCCTGGTCAGAGCCGTAGGGGCGTATAAAATGGGCAGAGGAGACCGCTCCACTCTCCAACAGCTCCAAGACTGAGTAAAAATAGGTGGAAAAACCCAGAGGGGAGTGCTGGGAGACGGCGCCGCAGTCAGCGTGACGCAGCGTAGCTGTAGTCTGGTATCACAAAATCTCACGGTCTGGTATGTCACAGCTCCTGGCGCCACCCACTCTCCATCAAAAGAGGAACATTGGCTGTGTTGTCACTCAGGTTCCCACGCTCAGGTGAGGAACCCGTGCTGGCACCACGGGTGGCCACAGGAAGGGCTCTGCTGTGAAAGGTGGCAGCACGAAGCCGTGCGATACGCTGCGTTAACATACCATTTCCTCTTTTCAGTACAGTCCTTCCTGCCACACGGTGCCTTCTGCCTCACAGGACTTCTGCAAGACCAGGTTCTTTAATGGACGGCCGAATGCTGTGGTTTTACTGACACCCAAAATACATGTCTCTCCCTAAAGAGGTTGTGTAAGCGCAGGCCCCTTCTCCTTCAGAGGGGTTTGGATCTTCTTGTAGTACAATAAGAACGTAATGATTTGGGGCCATATTCTCAGGCAGTGCAAATAACTGACTAGCCTATTTTTTTAGGTCAGAACACAAGATTAATTATTAATGACAGATTTACAAAATCAGTTGTATTGTTTTAGTCCCCTGTGAGATGAACGTTTTGAGGAACTCATTCTGTTTCTAGCCCATGTTAATTGTATCATTGCATTTGGCCATTCAGCAGTACGCAGATCAAAGGGCAGCTGTAAAAACTGTATTTAGTACCTCTCCATTAACTCTGTCCAGATTATGAAAGGACTGTGCCAAGAAAATCCTGACATTTGCTATTGTGTGCCTTTTGGTGTTGGTAAATGCAATGTGCTAAGCAAAGTGATGTTTGCAGAAAATTACCGCAGCAAAGCTCAGTGCAAGATCCTACTGGAGGAGGAAAGTAATATTCATTTGCAAAATCCTCAGTAAGCTCATTTTACCCATTCAAATGAATTCTCTCAGATTTTATTCACTCACGCTATCACAGCCAAATACTCGCAAGCACCAAGATGCATGTGCACAGGTGGTCTGCCCAAAATCAGAGAGGACAAGGACCTTCAGCTGCCCCATCCTCACTTTCTCTTCTGGGTTCCTCTTGGTTGGCGGTGACTGGGTTTTGGTCAGGTCTGCTATGCCATCTCGCAGCCAGCAGTTTTTACACTGCCATCTTTTTGCCTCCAAATTTTGCTTAATTGGTGCTCCATAAATCTTAGGCAGGGTTTTTTGCCCACTATTTTCATATTTTGGATGTCTTTTGAGCTGCAGCCTCTCCCACTGTTGGAATGAGGGGAAGAAGGAAGGTGTGTACAGGCTGGTGTGACCCGCTGGCCGTTCTCCTGCTCTCGGAGCGTGGGTCTTCCAGCAGCAAGTTATCCGTGCTGGGCCTTAGTGGAGTGCTGGCCTTTGGGGGGGGTGTAAACTGCACCCTTCCCAGTTTTATTGCTATGAACGATGTTCTTGCTTGTCAGCGTGTGCCGTTGTGTTAGCCTTTGCTCTGTTGTTTCTTCTGGTGCTTTCACACACACCTCCATTCATTCATTCTTCGTATCAGCCAGTATTTCTGTTACAACTTGCACATCTTCACAGTGCTCAGAAGTGTCACGAACTGTGAATGTTATCACTGGTGACATGGCAACTTGCTGATAACTCCAGCAGAAAGGCCCCTTTTCAGTTCATCACACAATCCTAGGAACAACCTCGGACCCATGACTCGTTTCCCTGACTAATGTTTTTCACCCAGCACAGTTTGGACACAGCTTTGTAAGATTTAGTTACGACATCTTTGTTAAAATGATTTCCCCATCCCGGTTGCTCCCTCAGCTCAGAGCAGCACGACGTTGGTATGGATCGGTTCAGGTCTGCTTTTTGGTTTCTGGTAAAGACAGCGAAGGATCCACCTGTGATGTACTGAATAGTCAAGGCAGAACGAGGAGTTGGTCCGCTCACCACCAACCTCCAAACCTTTCCAATTCTTTCATTGTTGAGAATATGTTTCCCTGAACCACGTGTTTTAGGTGACCCTCACCATCTCCCTCGAACCGTTCACCGTACGTCACCACCAGCAGAAGTGTGTAGGAGAAGAGGGGTAGCTGGGCGTTGCGTCTCCAACAGCCTCCATCAGGCGTGTGTAACACCCTCCTCCTGAATGCATTCCGCCCAACTTCACAGTACAGATTTCATGGTCAGACCTGGGCAACTGCTAAGAAAACAGTTCTCTGAGGTGCAGTAGCAGGTATAGCTTCCAAAAATGTCTAAAAAAAATAAAATGAGCCGCATACAAGCTCATACCTGCTTCCCCAACCGACTCTTTATTGCACAGTAGCTGTATTTCCAGCTCTTCCACAACATATTGCAATGATGCACAACTCACGTAACATTAAACCCTCTATCTAGCAGTTTTGCTCAAGCACTAGGCTGGGCATGATCAAACATGCAACTTTTCAGCCACTGCTGTTGATTTATCACTTGAAATGGGTTTGTTCTTGTGCACCCTTACGAAGTGCAGAGGGAGCAATTTTCCAGAACAGGAAGGGAAAAATGCATTGGTGCTGAGGCATTGCTGCTTGGCGTAATCCGTACCTTCTCCAGTTCTCTCTGCTGCTTTTGCCCCGTTCCTCCCGGCACCTCCAGCCCTGGACCAGCCCTACCGCTGTTACCAGCACCCTGACTGCGCTGCAGAATTGCAGCTCTGACAGGGGTCATGGACTTCAGCTCTGCAGTTCGTGCTTCCAGGCAGCAACGCGTTGTAAACATTTACCTTTGTATAAAACCGCTTCAGGTGATTCTCCTGAATGTGTTTATTGAATATGACACGCAGCCTGTTGCTTTACAAAATACAGCTGCTGCTTTAACCCCCGCGAGTGAGACACAAAGGCGTGTACATGCTCTGCCAACAGCACAGCGATCGGCTGGCAGGCCCCCGCCGGGGCAAAGTCCTCAGGGCACTAGAAGTTGTTAAAACACCAGCAGGCAACTGATAGTGCTGGGCATGTGCTCCAGATCTCACAGTTCTGATTTTCTGCTGAAACTAAAGGCGTTTAAATGCCATGGGAACACTTTGTGTTAGGAAGAGTGACCAGGGCAAATGGTTTTATGTGGTGCCAGTACATACATGAATTCTCAATTCTTGGTGAAGCGGGGGGGGCAGCAAAATTGCTACCATGGACTTCCGGAGGGCGGACTTTGGCCTGTTCAGGACGCTGGTTGAGAGAGTCCCTCGGGAGACCATCCTGAAGGGCAAAGGGGTCCAGGAAGGCTGGACGATCTTCAAGAAGGAAGTCTTAAAGGCGCAGGAGCAGGCTGTCCCTGTACGCCGCAAGAAGAACGGGCGGGGAAGACGACCAGCCTGGCTGAACGGGGAGCTTTTGCTGGGACTTTGCTGGGACTCAGGACAAAAAGGAGAGTTTACCGCTTGTGGAAGAAGGGGCAGGCGACTCAAGAAGAGTACAGGGATCTCGTTAGGTCGTGCAGAGAGGAAATGAGAAAGGCAAAAGCCCAGCTAGAACGCAACCTGGCCGCTGTCGTTAAAGACAACAAAAAAAGTTTTTACAAATACATTAATGACAAGAAAAGAGCCAGGGAGAATCTCCATCCTTTATTGGATGCAGGGGGGAACATTGTCACCGAGGATGAGGAAAAGGCTGAGGTACTTAATGCCTTCTTTGCCTCAGTCTTTAGCAATCAGACTAGTTACCCTCAGGGTACTCGGCGCCCTGAGCTGGAAAACAGGGATGGCGAGCAGGATGAACCCCCCATAATCCAAGAGGAAGCGGTCAACGACCTGCTACGTCATCTGGATACTCACAAGTCTATGGGGCCGGATGGGATCCACCCGAGAGTGCTGAGAGAGCTGGCGGAGGAGCT